AACCAGGTTGGATGATAAAGTGAGCAACAAAGAAAACCACCATTCTTAAGCGTTGCATCATTGAAATGGGTCATGTTCCATGACCAGATGACAAGTGCTGCATTGTTGCTACTTTTTAGTCATTTGCTAGAAGTTTTCTATGGTTTAGACATGGTAAATAGTTGGATGGTTTAACTCTTAAAGTCTTAGTCTTTTAGTGTGGTTTCCTATAGCTTTCTTTGATGACCAGGGGGTAGATGGTGTTAGTGTCTTTTATAGTTCATCATCTCTCAGGAACACCAATCGTGTTTTTTGTTTTGTTTGTGGTTCACCCGTGCATTGATCAATCATGGTGCGTTAAAACAGGACGCTTGACATTCACCCATTCTGACTTCGCTAAACTCTATTGACGGACATCTTCTTGCAGATGGTTTGAAACCCTCATCCTTACATTTTCCAGAATCCACCCTCCATTTGCGGCTTAAAATCATTGCACGAATTCCCATGGCATTCAACCGACCAACAAAATTCGTGAGAGTCGACGAAGGGAAGATTTGACCTGAAAATTTGAGCCAGAATGTTCCTTACTGCTTAGTAAGTCCCCCAATTGGCGTTATCCCAATTGGTTGGTGGTTTGGAACATGACTTTTATGACTTTCCATTGAGTTGGGAACGTCATCATCCCAACTGACGAAGTCATATTTTGCAGAGGAATAGGCCAACCACCAACCCGATATGTATATCAGTATATCCCTCTAATCAACGCCAGTAATTGGACTTATGTTCGTTAACTTAGCTATAAATCAACAATTATCCATCGTCATCCCAGCATTAGATTTACCACATTATATCCTTACCCATAGGATCCATGGTGCTGGTATATATGCTAACATTTGGGGTATATTGATGGTAAATGTTACCATATATAGCATACATGGATCCTGTGGGTTATGAATATCCCATTGAAACACCATTAACATCCCATCCATCGTCATCCCATATATTCTAAGCCCCAGAGACTGACCAGTTGCGATCCCTGGGATGATCCCGCCCCAGGTATGTCGGATTGGGCCGTGACGGGGCAGCAGCAGAAACTGCAAGTGGCCGAGTTGGCGCTGATGGAAAAGCAGGTCGAAGTATGTGGAGTTGTCCCGCACCAAGGGCGGTTATGTGATATGTAATATGTATATATATGTATACTGTATATATATATATATATATATCTATATCTATATCTAAATCTAAATCTATTTCTATATCTATATCTATCTATATATCTATCTATCTATCTATCTATTTATCTATCTATCTATCTATCTATCTACCTATCTCTATATATATAATTATATATATATATATAATTATATATATATATGTAAATATTATATATATATATATTATATATACCTGAACCCTCAATTGCTATGGAAATAAGTTATACGGAAGTAAAGTTAGTCGATCCCAGGATTTCCCATACAATCTTCCAATAAGTTGACGATTCCAAAAAAAGTTTACGATTGGTTCCCCCATTATGCCATCTATCACCCATCCACTGACCACAGCGCTCACACTTTGACCGGATCATCCACGACCTGATCAAAATCAATGCAGCACATCTTTTCAAGCCTGGTTCTCAGGAATTGGTTGCAAGTAAGCAAGGTCAAAATGACTCCCGAATTGTTTTCGGTAAAGGGACAACGCTCTATCGATTGTCCTTTGGGGGGAACTAAGCACATGAGTTTTGCGACACAATCGACATATTCGGCCGATAAAGTCTTCATCACTCCACGTCATCCATATTGCCGGATTTACCAGCAGCTCCACTTCCGGGTCCAAAAGCTGATGGTGTAAGTCCAGCCTAAGTTGTATGATTCAACCCACGTGTGATTCACATTTGTATGTGATCAAAAAATTGGGATGGGCCAGGTACTTCCCTTCAAAGAACTTGGTGTGTACAGGGTGAGAATAGGAAAGATTAAAACATATGATGCGAGGGACACTGTATGCAACATCATGTGCCCTTTGGGCCTGATCTTGAAACCATGCAAGTGAATTTTGGCACATAGCGAGGCCAATGTAGTGTAGCCATCCTCACCAATCTATAGCATCCCCAAACAGGCAACATTTTTTTGATTGGATGTTCATCCTATTTTTTAACAAAACATCGATGTACAGGGAAAAAAATAATATCAGCGTATAGACCCAGCTTCCGTAAGGGCAAACCCATCATCAACTATTTGAACAGCTGCAGCCCGTGGGATAAATATACCATGGCTGTAGATGGCTCGCCAAAACCGGTCATTGGCAACACAACTCCATTTCAACACCTCGAATATCTCAGTGAATTTGTCTTCCTCACATGTGGGCAGAAGATATGATCCCCATGAAAATCAGTATATATACGTGATTGATAGTTTTCCCAAGGGCAAGCCAACTCATTCTAAAGTATACAAAAATAAAACCGCTTGCTCGGCTCCCAGGTTCCAAGCTATCGCTGTTGATGCGACAGACTTCCATTGCAAGCCAGGATCCCAAGACTGCTGCATCATGACCTTTTCCGAGACCTTCGGGATGACCACAAAGCCTTGGATTTCAGATGGCTGGGTTTGTTCCCAAAAAGGTTGATTAATCCTTCAGCATTCTGGATCCATATCCCCAAATAAAAAAGGAAAAATCATTACCATTTTCTTGAAGTTAAGGAACGATCCCCTCTTCAATTTGAATGTTGAATACTCGAACGATGTGATACTTGTACTCTTCCCAGTCAAAGCCAAGTATGCAACAAAGGAGTTGTAAGCAGTATCGAAACAAGTGGGGATCGCACCATTCCCGAAATGACCCATACGCATGAGCAAGACAATGACGCTAGCCAAAAAGGATTTGCCAATGCCATCAATCGCATAGGTGTGAGCGGGGTCAATTTTTATGAAGTTTGGGTGGTTGGCACCCGGGAGATTCCTCATTGGGCTTGGGGCCCCCTGCTTGAAAGGGTTTGGGTTGATAGCGTTTGGACCCAAGTTCTTCACGGCACCTTTGAGGTCCCACCAATCCTTAGATCGATGGGATGTAAAAAACCTGATTTCTTGAAGGGTTGGTGGCAAAAGTAAAGCATAATAAAAACATATATAATGTCCATATATAAATCAAAAAATTGGACCATTCAAATTGGGAATTGGGAATCTTTCACATCACATCGATGGCATTTGGCGATACAGTTGAACCCACAATTCAGTCCCATGCTGCTTCGAAGAAATGGCCAGTCACCTTTGACCCCGACCACAACGAATCGAAAATGATGTTTTTGTTCTTCATGATGAACCTTAGGTGAACGCTACAGACTGGATGGAGATATGTGGCTGTGTGGTGGATCAGATCCCAAAAACATTACTATAAAAAAGGGCCCAAGTAAGAACCAATATCTATGTTCATTGAACCAAGGGGCAGTGTAGCCATGGTTGTACATCAAATTCAAATCTGCAGTAAGGACCCCCAACAAGTCATGGAAACTCTTCTGGGTATAGGGAGAGGGCAAAACAGTGTACAACAGCCGCGTGCACAGTGAAGGCCTGCAGTTGGGATTGTGACACTACAAAAATATATCATATATGTTCATCTATCCTTTGGGTTTTTACTTTAAAGGAAAACCACATAATGTACATGTGTGTGCAACCAAGGAACCCTGACATGTTGGTAAGTCCATTGTGGATAGGGAAAATGGTCTGTACCGAAACCACCATGACTGGTTGTTTTTGCCTTCCACGACCCTCATCACCATGGATTGCAATGGGTATCACACGGGACCAGTTCACAGACTCCTCTTGGAAGATTGGAAGCCGGTTCTCAACCTTCTGGAAATTCTGCCAGAAGTGCTCTAGCTTTTCCCCGAATTCATCTAAGTGGTTCATGCTCTTACCACCCAAGAAGAAATGCCCGCCATATCCAAAGATGCATCTCACCCAATCTGAAAAGCGCAAGACAGGGAATTTCACCAATGTTGGTACAGGTCTTTTTCTTGAATGTCGGATCCATAGATGTACATGGCTAATCCGCACTGGTAAAAGCTTATTGGAACGCTTGAGGAATGTGTGAATGTTTCTGCACACAGTCTTCTCGCCAGCTCTGCCACAACGAGCCATCTTCTCCATGGTGGGGCCAACGACTCCTCAGAGTTGGGGATGGAACCATACCCTCCAGGTTTTACTTGGGTTTTTATATAAGTCACATGAGATGACCCGACAAGCTTTAGTTGCAGGCAAAGGTCCATGTTTCCGAAGTCGATTCTTTGCAACTGTAGCCAGTCTCATAACCCGACGGGCGGTTTCAGCCTGAGTTTTCAAAAGTGTGTCTGTGGCCCCTGGGGATCCCAAAGTATCCCAATCTTATCCAGCCCAAATCCATCCATGCCAAGAAACACCTGTTTGGAAACCACTAAGAAATTCCTCAGCAAGGTCAGCATCGTCATCGCTACCTTCAGCACCTGCCGATGTGGGACGGCCCAGAGTTGAAGAGGAAATTGGGGATCTGGTGACAGTAGCAAGATCCATAAATATATGATGCCGCATGCGTGCAGATGGTTGCACGCCTGTATTCTCGCAACGGCTAGTAACCAAGTTGTCTCGCTGATAACCTGCGTGGAGCAGTTCAAGAATCCAAGAACATTAACTTTTGGGTGATCACTAAAAAGCATAACATTGAAGGACCATGGCATTGTTTTTCCCCGAAAACTCCATCTCAAGCCAGTTGCTCACAGCGATCGATTGACTTGCAGTCACAGCTGCAGCCGAACATCAGCAGAAAAAAATGCAGTAATCAATGTGAATCATATTATTACTTACATATCCATCCGGCTGCAGGAACATATGAAAATGAAAAGCCCAATGTGGGTAGTACCCAACATTGCATGGCCAATTTGGCACGGGACACACCGCGCTTGTATCCTATGGATCATGAAAAGTTTTCCATCAATCCTATCTACTCGGTTTTCTTTGCCTTCCTAGCTGTAGATCTCACCTTTGGCTTCTTCACTCCTGCAGGCTCTGATCCGGATCCGGAGTCCTTCTTCTTTGGGGTCTTGGCGGACTTGCGAGGCTTAGCCGCTGAAGGTGCCTTGAACTGCCTGGGCAGTGGCGGATGATTAGATGGCAAATATAATGGGTAAATAGTAAATGGGATGTAGCTGGGTATCTTCCTCTCATTTGAAATAAAGGTATAATTGAACCAAAGTACCGTGCTCTGAGGACGAGGTTGTTCAAGGCAACATCTGACTTGGTACAGGCAGCACATAGCCTCAGGATGTCCTTCTGTGCATCCGGCCTGCATGCATTCTAAAGCAAGAGGAGAAGGTGAATATCTTGATTAAATCGATCATACATGAACATACATGCACATACATACGTATGCACAAGCACGCATATATGGTGAGCCTCGACTTGCGAGTGACAGCCATTTCAGCTTGCAAGCTCTCCAACTCCATGTAGGTACTTTTCATAGCATCGACGTGAATCTTGATTTGCTTCGCATGCCTCATTTTCTGATTGATTGGGAAATCCTTATTACTGGGGATGTTGGATTTCAGGATGATCAATATCACAACAATATCCGTGCATATATGCATGCATGTATACATTGTTTAAGCCAAGAACTCTGCAGCTTGGTGAGTGTTGATCTTGTCCAGCTTCTCCTGCGAGTAAGCTCCACAAGTGTATGCATGGAGTGTTTGCTGAAAGTCACGTGCACTGCGTGCATGCCAGGTTGAATATCATGCTAAGCCATAATGCGACCCCCTGTGTAGAAACTATGATATTTCCATGGCCCACCCCCACCAGTCCAGTACGGAGCCACAGTTGTCAATCTTCCGGCCACAAACTTCAATGAAGTGAGGTAATACTGCAACAGCTGAAGTGTTCTCTTGGATGGTGGGGAAGCAGAGCCTAGGACGGTGGTTCATGTTGAATCATTGGATGAACCCAGAATCTCAACATATTGATCTAACATACCCATATACAAACGGCACATATAAGATTAAACTCATGGTGAATCATTTGCCATTCTCCATGCATGCATGTGGCTTAAAGGAGCCAGAGCTTGCCGCCGCTTGGTCCTCAGGCCGCTCAGTTGCTGAGCCGTCATCAGCCCGAGCGAGGATGTCCAAGGCCGAGTTCAAGTTGGAAACGCCACCCTCAAGGAAGTTCAAGTCAGGGTCCTGCAGAGAAAAAGGACTATATAATATTACTATATTTATCATTAGATCATGCAACATAAAGATATGGGATATAAGAATAATATATTGTTGGGGTCCTCAACATCCATCGTGACTCGTTGCTCTGTTCTCTCACCTTCAACTTCATCATAAGAGAAGCCATCTTCGAGAACCAACTTTGCCTCTTCCTCTCCATGTATTGGGTTAGTTCTCAGCTGGTTGTGCTTGGCAGCCCAAGCCCAAGCTGTGTCGGTCATTTTCCTGATCAAGAACATGGGTCATGCGATGCATGTGAATGGGGTTACTTAATTGGTTCCATGTCTGTGGTGTGGATTTTCAGAAATACTGAGATCATGTCTTCGTCCAGTGGTGCACGGTCTGCAAAGTGTTTTTGGTCACCCATGATCCCACTTTTTTCTGGGAAAGGCTACTGTTCTTGTACCGGGTCAGTTCCGTCTCCACCATCGAGAAATCATGACCGTTCTTGATCATGAGCTCCCGAAGCTTTGACCCTCAGTTGTTGCATTCTAAATTGGACCTATAACAAGGTAACCAACAAACTTGGTGAATAACGGTGACATGTAGTAATGTAGTATAGTTGACATGCATGCAGGCAAAAATCTACCATCCCGGGTTTTCCATAGTGCAGCAGCTGCTTCAGAACATTGGTCTTTGTGGATGACGCACCTCCTTCGCAACCTGGGGAGTAAGGTTTATGTAGGATCATGGTCACTATGTTTAGTCTTCAACATATCAATCATATATGATGTATTTGTTTGAGCTAGGAAACTTCCAGTAGAGGGCATCCTTCTCTTCGGGTTCCTGAACACCTTTCACACTCTCTGGCATACTGGAAGCACCAGGATCAACACCAGAAACTGTGTGGGGCGAATGGGTTGCATCACCACCACCCTTTCCATCATCCTCTAGAGGCTCTAGAACATCATCCCACAAGCCCGATCGAGATCGTGGCAGGCTGCAGTCATGTCGCGACTGGGCATCCTGAGGGACCTCGCCGGAAGAGTCCACGAAGGTCGGGGCAAACTGCAGACTCGGGGCAGGAGATAGTCTGGGCACTGAAGCACGTGGGCTCTGAAGACTCTCAGAACCTAAAACAAAGGACCTTTTCAGGGATCCCCCTTTCTCTTTGACTCTTCCATCCACAGACTGCGGTGTTGCTGGTTCAGGGGCACCCGCAGCATAGTGACCAGTGCTGTGGGCAATGACAGGGGCACCTCAGCAAAAGCCAAACATGTTGTTTAGGTATCTAGTGGGAATATGGTTCAGATTGACTATATTCGACATGTCTCGCCTTCGATAAGAGGTGGGGCGTCTTTGGCCTCATCACCATCAGAAGCCAATGATGCCCTCAAAAGACGGATCTTCTCCTCTTGTGCCTCATGGCGCTGGCACATGAAATAGCTAAGATAAACATAGATAAACCATATATTGATTCCGTGCATGTTGATATTTGATTCAAACAGCGTATATAGACAAGGTGCTCGAATCAGCTCATCAAGGTCCATTGTTACTGCTTGGTGATCTCGAGAATTATTCCCCAACGTAGCTGTCCCAGCCATGAGAGTCTCACACGAACCCAATCTACTGCCCGACATATGGGAAATAGGATCGATTGAGCGCAAATGTTCTTCAGATTTTTTGGTATATGGATAATTTGTTCATCAATCATATTCATGGACTGAGTTGCTGCAATTATCAGTCAGTTTTGGGCTACCCAAAGACAAAATCATACAAAAATGAGACGAATTGAAACGATGTCAACCCATTAGACCCATCAATTTGGGGGTGAAGTGTAGTGGTTTTTGAAATTGCGCACGGTTGCGCGAATTTGCGCACGGGTTGCGCAAAATTGCGCACGAGTTGCGCATCCATTTTTTCCATTACATGACCCCCCAGAGCAATCTTTGGCCATGTTGGCCTAAGAGATACGAATTTCCATCCCATTTGCGAAGAAATCCGCAATTTTGGGCAAATTATGTGAACCTCAGTCCACGTTTTCCACCGAAGTTACCTTAGCAACCATGTCGAAGACACCATTTCATGGGTATTGCTGAATATAGTGCTGTTGGGCTACGTGGTTTTGTAACTCTTGATGGAACTCCTTCATCACTGGTTGCCATTCTGGCGGGATCCTGGACAATCGGAAAAAATAAACAGAACTGACATTATGATAATTGATGATAATTGATAAAACAGCTCAAGAATCCACCACATGAAGGGTCCTGACATGCCGGCACTTGTAAAGGTAGTTGAATGCTGGGATGATGTCAGCATCATCCCAGGTATCACCCAGGCTCATCCCCATAAAGATCTCCTTATCCGTAAACTTGGGGTTTGGCGAGTTGTTGACCCGCAAGTCTCCCTGCACAGGGCGCTGGAGCTCGTCCAAGTACAACTTCTCCAGGCTGATGCCAAGACCAGACGGGTATGCCCTGGGAAGGATTCAGGAAATATCTACTAAAATGTATGCAGTAGGGAATTCCTCAATCAAGTATATCTATATTCAAGATAAGTAGCTGGGTGCTCTTCAATTCCCTTTTCTTTCCTTGAAATCGACGAACACCCTGCTTGTCTTCATATCGCCCTGGGATCGGTAAATTGGGATCATGTTTGGACATGGTTTGGGAAACTGGTGCATTTATTAAAGTCTAATAATTTAGAGTTTCGAGATACATCATACCACAGTGCCAAAAAAACATTTGCAACCAGGAAACTTGTTGTTTGTACAGTAGTCTTAGCAAGCCTTTCTTCTTTGGAAAGACGCCCCTTGTTCAAGTCTCCCATGGTGGACATGTTCCCCCAAAAGATCGTGGGCTTGCTGGAGGTGCCACCGTGCTGGAGCATGAAGAACCTCACAGAGTAAACCTGACGCAGGCGACGATGTTATGAAGTCTGGGATTGATGGGCTGCTTTAAATGGGCATATGCTAACTAACCATATCTAATATCTAACAGTTGAATATGTATAATTGAACCGAGACTCCCATGCTACACGGTTGCAAAGCCATTGAAACCGCTTGTGCATGTACAGGAAGCTTTGGGAAGGTTGCTCCACCAACCAGAAGCAATTTCGAGATATTACCACGAGAATAGCCAACACCATCCTTGACAGGGAACTTGCAACAAACCGATAAACTTTATCCGATAAACCCAACAAGTTTGCATAAACAAGTGTCTATAACTGCCACAATCATACACCGCCAATTTGACAAAGATTCCGGGCCACCATTTGATTTCCCCGCAGGACAAAGGGATAGGAATTGCCATGAGGGTTTATGTAACTCCTCCCCGACGTGCCACGGCAGGGGATCCCCCAGCCGCTGCAGTCTGGTGCCCAAAGGCTCAAGGCGCGGCTGTCCATGTTCAGGATTGTGTAGAGGACCAACCTGGGCTTGGTATTAACAGCAAGGAGATAGAGATATAAAGAAATTACTCGATATATGTTGTAGAATTTGTAGACCAGTAATTAGTGCCGAGTAGAGGTACAAGAATCCGGAAACCTTCAGGAAGTCGTGGTGTTTCTCGCTGTAAGTGTAGTCAATTGAGGCCACACGGTATCCCAGGTCATGCCTAAGATACTAAGATGATCTAAGATGCATGAAACTTCAACCCTTTTGAATTGTCAGTCAATTGAAATCAATTTGAACATACATAACAGGATGCATACCATGGCACCACTTCCTGGACACCCTTCCCTCTCCAGCAAAAGCTTCGAAGAATTGGTAACGATTGTCAAAGTTCAGCCCATCAGTCCACTGCAAAAGCAATACCTCAATGTTTCTTACTTTATGGATGGGGGGATACCAGACCATGGTTTTGTTATGACAGCATTTTGGTAATTAAGGTTTCCACTACCGCAATCAGCACCTGACATGCTGCAGGGGTCATGCTCAACCACTGCATGGGAATTCAGATAAATTCACATAGGTCTTGAATGGTCTTGATCAAATAAAATAACCTGCCTTCGGTGCTTGACATTGGTAAAGCGACCAGACAGCACTGCGATGATGCATGTTGGGAAGAACCACCAATCACCGAGCTACGTTTTGCCCCCAAAAAGCTGCGATATGATGTATTTGACCATGCTGCATTCTTAAACTTGAAGTCTTTTGTGATTTCCCGAATGCGAAATTGTGAAAACAGTTGAAAACGTAGGGTGCATGCAGGGCAGCACTGGCTGGTTGGGGGTACCTGAAAGGCTGGCCCGGATCTTCCAGCCACAAGCTCTGGCTGGCATTCGCCTGCGTGGAGGACAACGGGTCTGATGGCATCGGGCTTCCATCGAAGTGCATGAAATTTGAAGCTAAAATAAACTCACTTTTTCGATGACATCGCAGAGCTCAATGTTGATAAGTAGCGAATCATCATATCTTTGATCTGATGCTTGTCACCCACATGTTCCATAGGCGCTTTGCCTATCACGTGGCCCAATCCCCCAAAGCACCGGTGTTCGGGAGGATGATTGCGAAATAAATCAGTTATGAAAATGCTCATTGCATTTTTTAGATTTATAGACTATAAATTTTGTGATATCACCATTAACCCAAACAGCCAGTGACCCGTGAACCCAATCTTGAAAAGCTAACTGCGCGAACTCATTCGCACTCGGCATAGGCCTCCCATGGGATGATGATTGAAGGGGATGGGATGTTATTTCATGCCATGCATGCATATGCACAACACCAAACACAGATGCGTACTTAAAGTACATATGTACATGGTGTGCGACCCAGCCTTCTTAGCAGCAGCATTGACCTCTTCCTCCGACAACCCTGCATCCCTTGCTGCCTTCCTAGCCTTTTTGTATGCACAAGACTTGCGACTCAAAAGGGCCTTTTGCTCAGCAGTCCTTTCTTGTGGTGCTCGTTTGCTTCCCTCTTCCAATCCCTTCTTGCTCTGCTTTGCCTTAGCCTTCGCCTTTGCAACCTTGGGTGCTTTCTTTGTGGGTGCCTCCTTGGTAGAAGCGACCTTCTTTGCCTCGATCTTCTTCTTGCTGGATTTGCGCTTGGGTGCTGCGTTCTTGCTGTCTGCTTTGCTGGCTGCAGTCTTTGTCTTGGGTTTCTCATAGCTGGATGCGGCAGTGGGATCAGTTCCGGGTAAGGACTGATCATCGCTGTGCTCAGGGTCATCTTGCTCCTCATTCCCTTCATCAGCATCGTCCTCCTCAAGAGGTGTTTCCTCGCATTCCTCATCACATGCCTCCTCCTTTGCCTTTCTGCTAGCTTTCCCCTTTGCTTTCGCCTTGGGTTTGCTGGACTTTGCTTCGCTGGACTTTGCTCTCGATGCACGAGGTTTTGCTTTGGGTTTGGTTGCTGCAGTGGATGCTGACCTTTTCTTTGGACGGCCCCTTTTGGGAGCAGGGTCATTGTCCATTTGTTTGGCTTGTTCTGCTGGCGAAATGCTTGGCTCATTTTTAACAGCTGCTGGCGTGGGCAAAGTTGCAACAGACTTGTCTTCCGGGGCTGTGGCTGCTGCTGCTGCTGCTGCTGCTTCAGTTTCATCGTTGTTTGCTGCCGATGTTGTATTGGCTGGTGCATCCTTGTGATCAACACTTGCGTGTGCTTTCATGGCGGTGCTGTTGCTGCCTGTGGCCTCATTGTGGTCGGCTTTGTTTTCCATAGCATTCTTGGGGCATGGTTTGGGGGCCGCAAATTGTTTCCAGTACTGTTTGTACTTTTTGGTATCCTGTTCGCTGGCTTCCGTGTTGGGAGTGTTGGCTTCATTTGCAGCTCTTGGTACCAACGTGTTTTCATCACCTGTCACCTCACCACTCCCACTGCCACCACTACCACCACTCCCACCATGTCCCTTAACAACATCCTTGCTTTCTCCCTCAGTAGCTCTGGTTTGGCCCTCGTCTCGAAAACGCTTGGCCGGGACTTTGACGGTGGCCTGGATTACAAGAGAACATGCCCCCATCGGTCGATCTATATATATACATTATATAAGTACCTTGCCTGCATCTCAGCTCTGATGGTCATCTCATCAGCGCCCATAGGAAGAGTGTCCAAAGTGTCCACACCTCAACGACGGGATCCCATTATTCCCCACTAAAATCACCATCTAATGTTATGACTTTAGCATACTTTAGCAGAACAATGATACATGTATGTGTGATGATCTATGCATAAAACATCGAACAGCTTTCAGTTAAGAAACTCATGTTGTTGGATCTCTTGGCCATCAACTCTTGCAACACCATGCGCTCCCTCTCGAGCTCTTTCAAGAGTTTCAACCGCGTGACCTTTGCCTCAGCAAGCCTGAGATCTTCCAGTGCCTTTTGTAGATCAACAACTTGAGAATCTTCAGACTCCTCTCCAGAGCTAGTGGTAGACCTATTGGACGGGACCGAACTAGGAGTTTGTCCACTACGCCGGCATTCTTGTTTCTTGAAAGTACCCATATCATCGCTCAAGGCATCACATTCCGTACACATCAGTGCTTTCTCAAGCAGTGCATGCCCACCCGAGAGATTTGGACATTTGACCCCCTCAATTTTCTCATGGTAACGGTCAGAGATCCGGCAAGCTGTGCAAATCCACCCACATTTGACAACGTTGTGGAGGGTCTTCTCCGCTGAAGATGGTGGAGATCTCCCTTAGTTATGATGGGTTAAAGAATATCATATTGTATATGCGATTCATGGTAATAGGCATACATGGGCATAATCATATCATATGTGTGGGATATGTTGTTGGCTGAGATGCGGTTGCTGCAAGGAGGCGGTGTCACCATCACAGGAGACGAACAAGAAGGCCCCGCTGACGGCAATCGTCTCAACTCCGGTCTTGAGGGCAGAGGTCCACGAAGGACAGCCAAACCTAAGTACAACAACATTGACCAATCATCATCTTTTGACATTGGACCTATCAGGAACCTTCACAGGATGGATATTTGATCTTGAATATTTATGATTTAGATTGCAAACCATGGGGCTTTCAGAGTTTGTGATGTTCTTTGGGCTGCTGGAAGGTGGTGGCAGTACACGTGGGACATCTTCAGGAAGAACATCAGCCACCTCCTGATATATATATATATATATTGTATGTACAAGTGATGAATTACAAGTGAGGAATTGCATGTTTTTGGGGTGGTGAACAAATGCATGATGTAAAACAGTGTAACATCCCTAGCTGTCCTCATCATCCGTCAGCTCGTCTTCAGATTCTGCACCTTCTCCATCGACGTCAGCTGGATCGTCAGCACAAGGCTCGGAATCATCTCCTGAGCGAAACGTGATTGAACACATATATGTGGTATATAGGGGAGGGAGAAGATACAGGTACATGCGAATGTTAACTGATAATCATGAACATACAATAAAATAATTAAGCCGTGTATCCCAAACTGTTGGAGGACTTTGACTCAGGAATTTCAATTCCAACAGCCGCAAACAACTTTCTGAGTTGTGGATCTCGTGGAACATGTGGTCGCTTCGTGACCTGTGAGAAAGTCGTCACAAGTCGTCGAATGATCCACGCCTCTGTCCTGATTGCATCACCTGGGAAGCAAAGTGGTTTGAAGTAATTTGGTTGCTATATGGAAAAAATACGGGCAGTGCAATTGAATTCCTTTACATATGGGATACCACCAACCATGCCGTCCAGTTACTTTTTGGAAGTGCTTTGCCACGGGGCCGGCAAAGAAACAGGAAACGTCCCACAAGGTCAGTGACTTGATTGATGCCGATGCGCAAACCTTAGATACTCAAAAAAATATGAACAAATGTAAATGACCGAGAATTTTTGATCATGGTTAATACTGTTGGATATATGCCATATATTGCCATATCATAAGTGCCAGGAAACCAAGTTCAGAAATTAAAGGTTCCAGCATGTCGGCATTGTCAGACACTGTCTGCCGATCAATGTTGTCCTTCAGCACGTAAGCCATCTTCCCTTCTGCACCACGGCTACAGAGGGAAGGAATAGCCAACCAGGACTTCAGCACCGGACAGTCCACTACATCCGGTGAAACTTCATTGGGGCCAACCATAGCCACACAGGCCGCAACTGGCCACTAAAACCCACCTACGCCGTAAAAAGCCAAATGCTTCTTAGAAGTTAGAAAGGTTGATCATTTGATCATGTTAACATGCCCCAAATTCAACAATATGTGTTGGGGCATTCCAGCAACTTTGGGATCATTTGGGGCCACATGCAAACGCAGCATGCACGGCTGGTGGAGGCCTTCATCCATGAGACCAAGTACCTGCTGGCTGGGGCTTGGATTTACTTTAAGCCCTGCGTGCACTCCAGCATCCAAATATGATATGTAAATAACTCAGAGGGCACACTTGGTCAGGAACCAGTGGTTTTGGCCATGTTTTGACCCCTAAATAGCTGCCGGCTGGCGATGTATTAGCTCAAAACCACACGATTTATCAAAAGCCAACGAATTGGATAAAACACGACGGTTTATGGAAAGATGCTCGGATTTGCAAGAAGTATGTCAAACAGGGGGGGAGGTACTTTTTTCTCATACGGACGATGGTCCAGGTATATATATATATTATATATATATATATTATTATATGGGATTGTAGTGGATTGTAGGGAATGGTAGTGGATCATAAGGCCTTTAATCATCAAACATCTTGGGTTTCATATTGTTTAATGATCGTGAACTAGGGATTTGCATGGCAAAATATGGAGTGAGACCGAGAGACCCTTTGTTGGGATTCCATGTGAACGTTCGAGACTTGCATGATCCTTGTTGCTCCCTGGAGGATCATCAACATCACACCCCGATTCGGTCGTTGTTTAAGCATGTTTAAGCGCTAGTCAGAGAAAAACACGCTCAGTTGGTTAAATGGTTATGGCCCGGCTTAGATTCCAAGCTCCAAAGCACAGCCAGCCTGGGATGCAGACACAGGTTAGGTTATATACCTAGAATACCTAGACCATGTTCCCAGGTGTTTTTTTTGCAGATGTTCATCATATTTTATTGGGATTCTGCGGGCTGTTGCAGCTGCCAATCCTGAGAAATGTGTAGAAAATTGAAGAGTGCTGGATGTGTAAGATAAGTTATATATGTGTTGTATGCATTTGTGTCACATATGTGTGGATATCATTATAGCATACATTCTATTTTTTGATTTTTCCCAAGTACCATCAGTTACATCCCCATTTTCAGTGGTTACATCCCGTGGCAGGCAGCATCCTACCAAGAACAAGCAGCCGAGCATTTAGAGGCCGGCGGCATGTCCTCAGGCACCCAGAAAAGTCTTGCATTCCAAACCATGTAATCTCACTAAATGTCGTCCCAAATTTTGCTCTTATATATTGTTAACAGATAATATGACCCATAACATACTTTCTGGTTGGTGGTTTGGAACATTTTTTTATTTTCCATAAGATATGGGATAATCCTTCCCATTGACTTTCATATTTTTCAAGATGGTTAAAACCAACAGGTAGTTTTACTATCAACATATAAAAAAACAAATATGACCCATATATGTTTTGCTGTTGTATCTCCATCATTCACAGCTGAGGAGCTGGAGGTTCTCGAAGGCGACTGCGCGAGGTTCGCTTCGCGCTTGGGTCTCAAGTCCGAGGAGGGGCCCTAGGGGCCCTTGGCCGCGCAGTGTTGGAAGTTTGGAACATGAATTTTATTTTTCCATATATTGGGAAAATAACACCGACTGACTTTCATATTTTTCAGAGGGGTGGCTCAACCACCAACCAGTTAACCAATGGATCATTGGATCGTCGGGATATCTGATATCTTTAACCCAATGATCTTAACCAAATGCATCAAAATTGTCTTTTTTAAAAGATAAAATGATAATTAACCGATGGATTTAGAGGCACTTTTTTTTTAGACAAACCTATAATATAGTGTACCCCAAGGTGCTTGGAAGAGAAGTTCTACGTTTAACTGAGGCAAAGAACGGTACTGAACAAAATCCGATAAGATATTCGTTTTGCACCTAAAGATTGGGATGTCAGATGATTTTTGTCAGAATTTCGGGAAGTCAGAGCGGAAATTTTTCATCAGGGTTTGACAATCTATTCAAATGGCTTTTGGTGCATGTCAATCACCCCCCATTCAGGTGGTTCAAAAGAAATTGACCACCCCTACCCTCTGGTAATTTAACATAGCTTTTGAAAATGGTGATTTAGTTCGTGGATTTACCCATTGAAAATTGTGATTTTCCATAGTTATGTTAGTTTACCAGAGGGTACCCATCCTCAAATTGTCTTGGGACTTGACATTTCTTTGGCGGATCATTTCAACATCCTTGCGGTGGTTGCAGCACCATCGCATCCCCATCCCACCGTTACAGGAGGAGAGTGGCGATCTAAACTCCTCCTTGAGAAGGCTGATGACGTGAGTTTGGGCGACCACTCAGAACATGCAGACACTACCAGGTAAGTGTGTACCCTCTGGTAAACTAACATAACTATGGAAAACCACCATTTTTAATGGGAAAACTCACTATAAATGACCATTTTCAATAGCTATGTTAGTCATTACCAGAGGGTAAGTTCAATCTCTGTTGGATTCCCAGGAGAAATATATCTCTTCCTATCAAGAACTCAGCAAGCTGGACCAGTCGTGGGTCCCTCTGGTCCCAGGCTGCTGAGTCAAGTGAAGCGGGGCTGGGAGAGAACGAAGAGCGGCTTGGAGTTCTACAGCAGCGGTTTGCAGCTCTTGTGGCAGGATGGGGGCGAAAAAACAAACGGAACTGGGCGGGGCAGAGGGCATCGCTGTATGATTTCAATGGGGAAACGAATGGTTGAACCTGGTTGAACCTCAAGCCTCAAGCTTAATCTATGACGCACACTCACATTGTTATCGCATGAAATTGGATGAAATGTCATTATCATCCCAAATAGCTGATTGTAATGTTTGATCATAGTAAATCCAGGTAAATCGGTAAATCCCATTATCATCCCATCAATTTTGGAGGAGGACACCACTCATGGGGGGTACCCATGGGAGTGAGCTTCTAAAACCATCATGTTTTACTGCAAAAGTAATAAGAGTTTGATCATTTCAGGGATCCTTTTTCAAAAAATGTGAAACGAACCATGTGAGAGATCAGGGATAGGAGGGGAAGCAAATATGAATTAAATAGTAGCAAAGGGATGAGATAGGGAAGGGTCAGTGAGTAGCCCTGAGAATTGTAGCCCCAATTAGAAATGGAATAAAACTAAATTTTAAACTAAACTGAAAATCTGAGGGTCAGAGAGTGGATTTACTAAATGGGCGGGGTCGCACCATTATTGTGGGGGTGAAAAAAGACCTATATAATTGATTTTATAGTATTGTCCCAAAATTGGGAAATGCCCCGGATGTACTAGCAGGGTGGAATTATTAATCCAAAGTTGACAGTATTATCTCATCACAATGTACTGTATATAGCGATTTTAGATTTTAACCTATTTCGCTCCCAGAAAGTTTGCCGCCCCTTCTTGATACCATTCCCCTTAGTTGCTACCCATGGTCCGCAGGGAGTCCCCCACCCTGAAGGACATTCAATATGCCTGCAATCTGGTCATCTTGCAGCAGATGGCAACAGAGGGCCGGTTGAGGTATCTGGGGGAACCCAAAAGTTACTAGCAATAGCAGTATCTAATGATACTCACTTCACAATATACTTTATATGGGACATTGATAATGATCTGGAAGCATTGATTATATAGGTGTATTACTTGCAATGAGGAGTGCAAGTTCCCAAGACAAGGGCTGCTTATTTGTAGGATGGTAGAAAAGCGGGTTGCTTGACCTCCAAGATATTTGTAACCCTTCATTTTTTGGGTCCAGTTGACTGGGGGGTATCTAATATTGGAAGATATTGGACGGACTTATCATCAACCAACCATCATTTATCGATTATCTCCCTATATTGTATGTTTTAGGGTTAATAGTTAACATCCTGATAATGGTTATATCATCATTTATATAACAGGGATGTCCTTAAAAAATCCCAGGTGAGCAAAGCCGCCTTCTCGAACTACACCTTGCGAGCATGGGAGGTGCGCACCTTGCAACGCACAGTGAAGGATCTCTTGACTCTGCAGCTTGCCCTTGATTTAATCATGCATATGGCGACCCAGAAATAGTTGGTGAAGGGTTTGAAACCTTGAAACTTGAAATTTTGGAGGAACTTCATCGTTTTTTGAAAAAAAAACTTGATGGGGAATTGTCCATTGCCGTCTTTGAATAACGGAGGGTATATGATGAAGATGTAGGATAATATGGATGGATTTGGGGAAATTGTGCTAGATTGTGTGCTAGATTGCTTAGATGTTTGAAATTGTTTGAAGATCGTTTTGGAACAGTATGTTGTATGATATGATATATGATATATGGTTATCCGCACGTTCACGTCATGTCATGCGGTTGTTGTTCAATTCTTTTTGCAAGGGTTGCTATTTGGGACGGGTCGGAGCCACCAGAATCACCAGGTTTTGGAATTGTTTTGCAATGTGTGTTCTGTTTTTTGGCCCAGAAAGCATTAGCTGTAAGATGTGACATGTAAGCAGCATGTGTCATCTACAGTGCAATAATAACTTTAGGGGAAACCAGCGCCAGATCCAAAGGCCTCTTGCCAATGTTGCCTCAACCATTTCCTGGATCATGATGACAATGTGGCTTAACTACAAAAAATGTGGAAACCGCTGTCCAAACTGAGGCAAACAATATCCAAAAGATGATTGCTCTGTTCATTTTGACTCCTTGGTGAAAAAAGATGTTGTCAATGTTCTTCCTCAGCTAGGATTCCATAGAATCCCAAATGCCTCACCTAGGATTCCAGCCATGAACTCTCCAATTTTCCAATTTTCCACATCAATCCACCCCAGCAACAGCCTCCATAGGATTCCCTTTTTGATCATCCTCATCATCCCCTTGTCGCCGGTGGGGCACGTCCTGGTCTTCTCGTTCTTCCAGAAGAACTTCCCCGAGTTCTTCCCCTCCTCCTTTACGGAGCAGCGGCAGAATGTCACGAAGATCTACCGCGACATCGTGCCACCCGGCACGAA